TGAGGACAGAACGAAAGAGAGAAGCATGGGATTCTTTCACATCTAAAGTGCTACAGTCAATTATGCTTCAGTGTGCCTATTGGTTTCGAGTTTCTGAAACACATGATTCTCATAGACAGGCTTGTTTTGTTGAACACAAACACCAAATAAGACAGAATAAACATACATGAACTCAAAAGAAGCACTGACACTCCACCACTCCTCTTGACACTAACCTCTCAAATAAATGAGCAAAACTGAAGATGAGTTTATTGGAAGCAGGAAAAGCACAAGGATGGAGATGGAACCAAGGACAGGGTGATATCCTCATAACGTAGTAGGAAGACTCTTCCAAGATCACATGGAAGGCTTTTTGATGCTTTCTCTCATCTCCTATGAAAACTTTGAAAATACTTTCTCATAAACCTTTATTGTAATGGAGGTTCACTCTTCAAGACAGAGTTAACTCTAGGGATGAATAAAATGATACTCAAAACAAATGAAATGTACATGCTGGAGCAACAGTCTAGATCGATTAAATTTTTACCCATGGATCATTTCAGTAGGAAAAGAAACAAGAAATGTATCCAGCTTGGAGATCCACGTTGGAATATAGCAAAATTTTGGTTTCTAAGACACTCTGTGAAGATAAATTTAAAGAAATGACAAAGCAATTTCTTTATTTATTAAAAAATTAATAACACATAGAAAAGTACTTAAAATACTACATCCATGTACCCTCTACGGAGATTAAACATGTGTTAACACTTTTGCTATGTTATCTTTTTCCTTTAAAGAAATAAAATTTTATGAATATAAGCTTCTCCATTGCTCCTCCCCCAGTAACCAATACCCTTTAATTCCTGTGCTGTCATGTCAACTCACGCTCTTGTACTACATATGTGTGTTTCCATAACATCATTTATTCTGGGCTTCATTGGTTTATAAAAACATACATAAATGACATCATAACCATATACATATACTTCTATAACTTTTAAGTCGTCATTATTTTTGTTTCGGAAATGTATCCATGTTGCTACATTAACTGCTCTACTGCATTCTATGTATTATTAACCCACCACTTACTGATTCACTTCTTTACGTAAGACTAAATAGTTGTATCCTACTTTTTCAGTGGTAGTCTTGGTGGTCTAGTGGTTAAGATACAGCACTCTCACCACTGTGGCCAGGGCTCATTTCCTGTCAGGGAACCACACTATCCGTCTGTTGGCTGTCATAGCGTGGCAGCTGCATGTTGCTGTGATGCTGAAAGCTATGCCACTGGGATTTCAAACACCAGCAGGGCCACCCATGGTGGACAGGTTTCAGTGGAGCTTCCAGACTAAGACTAGGAAGACATGCACACATGCACATACGCATACACACACTACTTGCTGCCTCTTCATCCTTCATTTGTTCTCTTTTTAAATTTGATATACAGGGAGACTCCACTTATTTCTGTAAGAAGGAAATTGGACAATAAATTGGAAAATAAATTTCTCTGCTCAACTAAGAGCTTGTAAAACAACCAGAAAAGTTAAAAACAAAGAAGGAGAGAAGATATTTCACTGCAGCATCATTTCCAAACTGAAGCGAATGCAAAGTCAAATTAACTTGGGTAATGGGAATAGAATGGTATAACCATTATGGTCCTCCGAGAAGAGATCATAATTGCCTATCCTCTAATTTCTTTGGGACAAGACCTTTTTGTAGCTTGAAGGCCTAGACTCTTCCCACAGGGCAGCCCAATTCTTAGATAAAACAAAACATTGGTGACTAGGAGTGCGACAAAGGGAATAAAAACACATATGATCTCCATTACTTAAACTTCTGTGATATTGAAAAGGGGGATGGGTGAGGAGATAGACTCTGAATTGCTTCCCATAAACACAACCACTTAAATTAAAAATCAATACATCAAAAATGGACAAAGGATTTGAATAGTCATTTCTGCAAATAAACAAGTGGACAATAAGCATATGAAAAGATGTTCAACATCATAAGCCATCAGGCAAATGCAAATCAAAACCAAGATGAGATACTACCTCACATGCACTATGATGACTATAATTTTAAAAAAAAGGAAAAGAATAAGTGTTGGCCATGATATGGAGAAATTGGGACCTTCATACATTGCTGGTAGGAATGTAAAATAGTACAGTCATTTTGGAAAACAGTTTGGCAGTTTTTCAAAAAGTTAAACATAGAGTTATCATATGACCCAACAACTCCATCCAGGTATAATCCCAGGAGATCTGAAACCATATGTCCACACAAAACCTTGTACATGAATGTTCATAGCAGCATTATTCACGGTAGCCAAAGGTGAAAACAAGTCAAATGTCCATCAACTTATGAATGAACAAACAAAATATAGTATATGTATACAACAGAATATAATTCAGCCGTAAAAAAAGAATAAGTTGATACATCCTAGAACGTGGATGAACCTTGAAAACATACTAAGTGAAAGAAGCCAGCCAGACACAAAAGGCCATATATTGTATGATTCTATTTATATGAAATGGCCAGAATAGGAAATTACACAGAGAAAGGAAGCAGATTAATGGTTGCAAGGGGTCAGGGGATGAAGGAATAAGGAGTGAATGCTAATGGGTACAGGGTTTCTTTATGGGATGATGAAAATGTCCTAGAATGAAATAGTGGTAATTGTTGCACAATATACTAAAACCCACTGAGTTGTACACTTTTTTAAAGGGTGAATTTTATAGTATGTAAATTATATCTCACATTATAAGCATGTGAATTATATCTTTTAACTCAATTTAAAAAATGAAGGGGCCGGCCCCGTGGCATAGTGGTTAAGTGCACACGCTCCACTGTGGCAGCCCGGGGTTTGGATCCCGGATGCGCACCAACGCACCGTTTGTCAAGCCATGCTGTGGCAGCATCCCATATAAAGTGGAGGAAGATGGGCATGGATATTAGCCCAGGGCCAGTCTTCCTCAGCAAAAAGAGGAGGATTGGAGGCAGATGTTAGCTCAGGGCTAATCTTCCTCACAAAAAAAAAAAAAAAAATGAAGACAGGGGCCGGCCCAGTGGCCTAGTGGTTAAGTTCAGCACACTCTGCTTCAGTGGCCTGGGCTCTCAGGTTCAGATCCTGGGCACAGACCTACACCACCACCAAGCCATGCTGTGGTGGTGACCCACATACAAAAGAGAGGAAGATGGTCACAGATGTTAGCTCAGGGCCAATCTTCCTCAAGCAAATAAAAAAAAATTAAGACAAAAAAGAAAGCTAAAAACTAGTTTCTTAAGGGAAATTCAGCTTGAAATTAGACAAAAACAAATCAATACATCAATGTAAAGGCATATCACATGAGCAGACATAAATGCACTTCAACAAATTCTGATCTGATGAAAAACGTGAACAATTCAGTGATATTACTACTGAGAAAGCTAATTATTTTTCTAGCAAAGAGTTACTGCTTCTAAGATATAGAAGTTAAAAGAATAGCCAATAAAGAGAAAGATCTAGATCAAGCATCTGGTTTTAACACTTTCCAACTGTGTGTGGCCTCAGACAAGCCATTTGACCTTTCCATGACTCAGTTTCCTTTCCTGTAAAATAGGAATAAAGTACTAACCTCTCAAAAGTTCTTATAAATCTACTAAATGAAACAACATATGTAAAGGGCCCAGCAGACTGCCAAGGACAAAGTAAGCACTCAAATATTTAACTACACAGAAATAGGTTCCTGCCAAATATGCTCCCAAAAATATAAATATTAAAAAAAAACCAGTTAACGGGGGTAGCGGATTTGGAGGCAGGTGGTGTAGCAGGAATGTGGTGCATGAGAAGACAGGCTCAGAAAGAAAAAAGAAATATGGAAAATAAAATCTATCCCTGTCTTCCATACCTTCTCACTTTACAAGATAGTTTTATTACAGCTTAATTACAAGTGAATTCTCTCTTAAACGTAAAGAGATTTTTGCTAAATTGAAGGCTGGGCCTTCTATACACTGAAAAAGCCACTGGGACACTGTGCCAATAGAAGGTACTGAATATGAAAGAGTGGCTTATCAGTGGTTCTCATCCTTTGTTGTGCATCAGAATCACCTGGAAGGCTAGTCAATATGCAGATTCCTAGGCCCCACCCCCAGAGATTCTGATTCATTCCATTTGGGATGGAGCCTGAGATTCTCATGTCTAATCTGCTCTTGGGTGGTGTTGATGCTGTTGGTCCAAGGACCATACTTTATGGAGCACTGGCTTGGAAAACATGACATTCTATTTGTTTAGTTCCTTAAAAAAAAAAAAGGTGAATTATCTCACTTTTGGGCAAGTTTTAGAAATTATCATTACTTTGGAATAAAAAGAAGGAACAGTGTGATTAAAAATAACAGCTAGCATTTATTAAGTGCTCACATATATGAGGCACTTTTCTAAATGCTCTATACAGATTCATTTTATCTAATCCTCCTAGGCACCTTATGAGATAGACACTCTAGTCTCCATTTTATAAGTAAGGAAAGTGAGCCCCACAAAAGTTGAGCAATTGGTCCAATATCATATATGTGTTGCCCCATATGGACTGTTGAAAACTTTTAAATCCAGTAGAATACATAATATCTAAAGTTAATATAATTGTATATGTGTATCAGCTAAAGATAAGTGAGAGATTATTCTTTGCAAGTCTCAGAATTCTAGAAATATGAAAATTGGAAACATAGCATTTCACTGAAAAACCATAATTTCTCTTTTCTATTTTACAAACACACATTAATCTTCTTTTTCAGAATGGTAATCACTCTTCCCTTAAAAGGAACATTTAATGAATTTCTTATAATCTGACTTCATATAATTGAAATTATCTTTTTCTAGCTACTTCCTCCATAATGAAAGGCAACAACAGCCAAAATTCCTAGAAGACAAATTTAACTTTTATTTTAAAATCATCTAGTGATAGAAGTGCTTCTGAAGCAAAATTATTTTAAACATCATCTGGTTAGTAGTGGATCTTCTACTGAAAGATTAATGGGTAAAGATTACATACCTTGTTTTTAAAATAAACCTCAATTGGCAAAATGAAACCAGCATACCCAGATTCTTCTACTTTGTAAGGTGGATCTTTGCACACTGCAACATTAAAACAAGAAAATAGATGAGATGAGAATAATAGACAAAAAGACATTCTTTCTTCTTTTAAAAAAAGAAAAAGAAAATCCCATTCTACCATCTAGATCACCCTCAATTTTCACAGCTCCTTGCCAAGCCCTCGTCTGAGTCTCTGATCTACTCCAACATCTATAATAACTTTTCCTAAATAAATCAAACATATAAGTTATTTATTCAAATATTGATGGGGTTATTAGTTCATCACAGTCAACCATGACCATTAACGACTTGACTTCAGTTGTTATCACCCTGCCCTAAAACTTTAGGGAAACTGAGGACATCTCCTTATGATCATGAGCTTGAAAACAACTATCAGTTTCCTAACAAAAGTACTATCTATGTCTAGTTTTTGATGTAAATCACTCCACTGCTAAACCCCTCGCTTCTCTGAGATGTCCTGATTTATATGCCAAAAAGTAGCAGGACCACCCTCCTTCCTTAGAAAATCCCAAACCCAGAGTCTCCCAACATTATTGGTGCCCATTTAGACCCACTTGCCCCCATTTCCCCCGAAAAAGAATGCTTACTGAAATATTGGTATACATACAAACACTTAAAATCTAGTCACATCATAAAAACACGGAAGAAACAATAAGCTCTTGGTATTTCTTATTAAGGAAGACTAATAGGCAAACTCTTGGGAAATGAGAGACACCCTAAGAAACTAAACGTGACTTCACTCTACAAAAATTTCCATTAAACCAAAATCAGTCACAAGTCAACTGAAATTATTCTAGCTAAGATTGCATTTGGTAGTATCACAAAGAAGTGAAAATGTACATGCAGAACATCAAGGTCACACACCCTGGTAGCCCAGTCCTCTGCAGTGGGGCTCCAGGGTACCATTTCAGCCTTCCCCCTTTTGTCACCCACCAAACCTTCTGTGCTTCATTCAACTGCATCAATACCTCCCACATACGCCCAGCACTTCCCACCTGTGCCCTGTCCTCCTGGTATTCCTTCCATCACACCTTGATGCTAATCTTGGCATCCTCTGCTAGTTCAAATCCCAATGTCTTCACAAGGCCTTTCCAGACCACAAAGTACTATCATCTCTTCTCCTTTGATCCTCCCAAAGCGTTAACTGTCTGAATCACTGGTTTGACACTCAAAAGAATTCCTCGTTATCATATACTCAGGAATCTCATCTGTAATTTCCTTTTATTCCTCAAGGACAGAAACATTTACCTCAAGAACACAGAGTGTCAAGACAAGGGCTCAAGCTACCTCATCCAGCACAGCTGGGTGCCAATCTGGGCTCCACCTCAGACGAGCCAGGCTACCTCTGGAAAGTTACTCCAGTTTCTCTGAACCTCAGGTTCCTCTTCTAGACAGTGTGAGGATTAAACAGGATGATGTATGTGAAAGACACAGCACATGGCCTGGCACACATAAATTCTCAATAAGTGACTGAAGTGAGGCAGAAAATCTAACCCGTAAAATACCCAATCATCAAGTAACCTTGTAAGATGAAAAAAGAAAAGAGGCAGCAAGCCAAGAGCCCTGGATTTGGATTAGAAAACTCAGGTCCATGACCCTGGACTGAGGATTCTCTAGACAGCTTCCATTTCCTTTCCCTTTATACGAGAGAACACCTTCTACACATCTGTAAGCATGGCTGTCAAAAAGGCAAGGAGACTCTATATGTGGGGAAATATAAGTGTGAGGCATTTTCATTAGACGATGACGATATACATGAAAATTGGTTAGAAACTCCACAAGTACAAATATGGTTACAAAGAGGTATACTGACGACAGGATTGTAACCCTTGGCAGTCTCCTTTAGCCCACCTTAGGAAAATTTCCCCAAACTGACAGCCGAGGAAGCAAATCAGGAAAGAGGCATCTCACCTAACCTTACAAGTTTCTCTAATAAAAAATGAAAAAGCAAAAGGACTCAGAGCGGCTTCAGTCCTGCATCCACTGACCATCTGCCAACCTGTCATGAATATTCAAATACCCTGAACACTGAGGGGTACGCCACTAAATACCTGAGCATCCCCCACACCACCCCGGCTAGTTCCATACCCACATTTCCAGGCTGTAGAGCCCTCTTTCAGAACAGCAGTTTCAGCATCCAGGTTGTTTGGGATTAATCATGCCAATAGCATTTGAAGGAAGTTTATTCTGCAAGCTGCCAGAGAAGTTATAGCCGTTCCTCTATACACCCTTTCGTATAATTCATTTTCTCTATTCTGCATGCAAATTGCTCCTATTATAGGAAACAGCTGTTAGAGCACTTCATATAGTTAAAGGTCTTAGATTTTTTTCTACGCTCCAAAGGAAATGATCTCTTATGTATTAATATTCCATAGAATTCTGGTTTTATAAAAAACTGTCAACTCATACCTCAATTATTTTTAAATGCAATATTGTCATAAATAACAATGAATAACATCTGTAGAGCACCCTGAGTTCTTAATTAGAAGCAAACAATAGAAACTTTTTATACATCATAAACATGCCAGAAAATGAGTAGCAATGCAAATACAACTTTACATTTCTAATCTGAAGAAAGTCAAATTAGGGAAGCAGTTTATTTATTTATTCGAGCATCTTATAACCAGAATCATTAACATGAGTTTCTAACCTAGTTCTTAAAAAGAAACAAGAATTAAAACTAAGAAAGATTTTAGCCAGTAGGGGTACTACATTAGACATAAAGCAATTATTTTTAAACTAGTAGATCCACATCTGGGACCACCTTCTGTCACTCAGCAACACTTCATTGAGAATCCCTTTTCTATGATCACTGACCACTGCGTTACCTTTACAAGACGTAAGCATCCTAAACCCTTCAACTCACTCTTCCTTTCAATTATTCGAGAATCAGATAATCCTTAAGATCTAGGTAAGAAAAGGCCAAGTTTCACAGGTCATTGAAGGGATATTCATCTTTAGAAAGCCATCAAATTTTGGGGGGTGACAATAAAATGGGAGGATTAATATTCTTTAAATTATGCATATTAACTCAGTAGAAATCACTGGAAGCTCTTGTTCCTATCAAAATCCAGCCCAGATGTTAGCTCTTTCAGAACATCTCCCTTGTCCCTCTTCCAAGCTTCTCTTGTTGCACTTATCAGGCTGGTGCACTTTATTATGCTGGCGGATAACATTCCTTTACCTCTCAGACTCCTCTGCTAGACTGAGCCCCTTGAGGTCAGCAACCTCACCATTATTCATATCTGTAACTTCGCGCACGAACATTGAGCCAAATAAGAAGTGCTCAACAAATGTTTGTTGAATTGAATTTTTTCAAGATTCATGCTACCCTTCACTGATTTACCACTGTTAAAGTTGCTTTCCAGGAGTAGCGATGAGTTGACTTTAGCCAAACTCTTCTCCACACTCCCTACAATCAACATAAACTTTTAAAAATTGGTACCCATGACAGAAAGTGTGGCCACAGAGGGATCTTCTCCTAAAAGCTGAGTACCCAATGTGGAACTGGTTCTACTGGTTCTTAAAATTTGATAGTCTCAAATTTTAAGAAATTGAGTTAACCAATTGGGCCACAAGATCACTAAGGTCATTTTGAAACTAACATTATATAGCCATAAATAATATCTCCTTTCTCTTCTCCTTCCACACATTACTACCTATGTACTCCAAGGCTGTGACAAGGAGACATTTTCAAAACTCTCTCTATCCACGCAATCACAAGTATCATAAAGGTCTTTTAGCACACAACACCCAAAATTGACACCTTAGAGGAAGAGACCAAAGTTTTTTTAAATAATGAGCAATTGTGCTTTTTTCCCTAAAATAGCTCTTCAAAATAATAGGCACAATATAGACCCATATACATAATATATAGTATGATGCTAACTATATACATGGACCACTAACCTATTTAATTTTTAAGTTGAGCAAAAGATGTACACAAGGAAGAAAAATATATGAAAAGGAAAAAAAGTCATGATTTGGTTAACCTGGAATAAGTCAAATCCTCACTTATTACCTGAGATTTTAAATATTCTTCCGTTAGGAGAAAAAGGCTTGAAAAGAGCTGTGCTTTCTACAGAGAAATAAATGCTCCTTAGATGAATAAATGAATTTGTGCTTACATAATAAATTACATATATATACACAATAAATAAATTTAATTAACTAAAAGATCCCATTGTTTTAGCACCAAAAAAAAAAAAAAATGAAACTCTTCCAGATCCATAAGACCTTCATTTAAACTTTAAAAAATATCATTAGTGGGGCAAGCCTGGTGGCGTAGTGGTTAAGTTCGCACGCTCGGCTTCAGCAGCCCAGGGTTCGTGGGTTTGGATCCCGAGCACAGACTTACACATCGCTCATCAAGCCATGCAGTGGTGGCATCCCACATGCAAAACAGAGGAGGACTGGCACAGATGTTGGCTCAGGGATGATCTTCCTCAAGCACAAAGAGGAAGACTGGCAATGGATGTTACCTCAGGCACAATCTTCCTCACCAAAAAGAAAAAAAAAAAATCATTAGGCAACAGTTTTTTCCCTAATCCTTAGGAAAACAGCTGGTAGATTCCTCTCCAGAGTCTCTCTCCAGTCGGTTTGCTTAGACACTATGATTTATGTCCATCTGAATACTTTTGTTAAGGACATGGCCCAGTTGTCCATTGATAATTATTGGTTTTACTTTATTTACTGTGCAGAGCCCTTCAGGAAGGAAACACACCAAACTCTATATATAGACTGGTTATTACCACTCCTTTGTGCCAAATGTCCCTTCCAACTTGAGCATTTTGGACTCCTTCCCTTCCTGCTTTAGTTCCACCACATCGGAGCCCCCAAGAGTAGTGAGCCAGGGTGCTGCATGGCCCATGTCTCTGCCCCCAACTGCTCTGTGCAGGTGTTTGGAAGTCGAGGGCTAGCATCCAACAGTCTGAGCACCACACTGCCACTGAACATGGCCAAGCCTTCACACTTGTGACATTATGAAAAGAACAAAAATCAACAGTTGGGTTTTGTTTTTG